GATGCTCCACCTCACTAATCATCAGAGAAATGCAAATTAAAACCACAGTGAGGTATCACCTCACACCAGTTAGGATGGCCACCATCCAAAAGACAAACAACAACAAATGTTGGCGAGGATGTGGAGAAAGGAGAACCCTCCTACACTTCTGGTGGGAATGTAAATTAGTTCAACCATTGTGGAAAGCAATAAGGAGGTTCCTCAAAAAACTCAAAATAGAAATACCATTTGACCCAGGAATTCCACTCCTAGGAATTTACCCTAAGAATGCAGCAGCCCAGTTTCAAAAAGACATATGCACCCCTATGTTTATCACAGCACTATTTACAATAGCCAAGATATGGAAGTAACCTAAGTGTCCATCAGTAGATGAATGGATAAAGAAGATGTGGTACATACACACAATGGAATATTATTCAGCCATAAGAAGAAAACAAATCTTACCATTTGCAACAACATGGATGGAGCTAGAGGGTATTATGCTCAGTGAAATAGGCCAGGTGGAGAAAGACAAGTATCAAATTATTTCACTCATCTGTGGAGTATAAGAACAAAGCAAAAACTGAAGGAACAAAACGGCAGCAGACTCCCTTGCCAAAGGGAAAGGGACTGGGGAGGATAGGTGGGAAGGGAGGGATAAGAGTAATAAGGGGCATTACAATTAGCATACATATAATGTAAGGGAGGGCACGGGGAAGGCAATATAGCACAGAAAAGACAAGTAGTGACTCTGTGGCATCTTACTACACTGTTGGACAGTGACTATAATGGGGTATGTGATGGGAACTTGATAATGGGGGGAATCTAGTAACCACAATGTTGCTCATGTAATTGTATATTAGTGATACCAAAATAAAAAATAAATAAATAAATAAAAAATAAATCTCTTGAATAAATAGACTCAAGAATATGAAGAGAGTTTTAGAAAATTATTTTTTCCTCTTTTTACATTTCTGTACTCTCCAAAGTTTCCATAATGACAATACTAAATTTAACAGTTTTTGAGATATAATTCACATACTATAAAATTCTTTTAAACTGTACAATTTAGTGATCATCAGTATATCTACAAACTTGTGCAAAACATCATTCCTATCAAACTGAGGACATTTTCATCAACTCAGTAAGAAACCTGCACCATTAGCAGTCACTCCCCATTCTCTACCCCCAGCTCCTGGCAAAAGTCAATCAGCTTCCTGTTTCTATGGATTTGCTCATTCTGCACATTTCAAATAGAATCACAATATGTGGACTTTTTTGTCTTGCTTTTTTCACTTTGTATATTGTTTTCAAGGGTAACCCAAATTGTAACATGAATCAGTACTTCATTCCTGTTTGTGGCCGAGTGATTTTCCATTGCATGGATATACCATTTTATTTATCCCTTTATCCACTGATAGACATTAAGCTGTTTCCATTTTTTGGTTATTATGTAATGCTGCTGAACATTCATGTATGAGCTTTTGCAAAGGCCATACGTCTTCAGTTCTCTTGAGAAAAACCTAGATGTGGAATGTCTCATTACATATATTACTTTTATAATTTTTAAAACATAGAGAATTGTTTCCTAGTGGCAAACCTTGAATTTCAGTGCCACCAAACTCAGGGCCACATAAATTCCTTCTACTGCCACAGAGGACAAGGTACTATTTAGAGAAGACAGCTATAGAAAAAGACTACTCACTATTTGACAGGTATCTGTCTCTGCCAGGCACTTATGATAGCAAGATCTAATCACACCATTACCAGATGTCAGGGTAGACACATTATTAAAATGAGGTTGTAAACTGCCTAAAATTCCCGTACTTATGGACAAGTCTAAATAAGACAACACTCCTGTGAATAGTCTTATTTTTTCACACTTTTCTCTTATCACAGTTTCCCAATGACAGATTTAATTACTTGATTTGTAATAACATTTCACAAACCCACTCACCTATTTACTACTTCAGTGCAGAAAATTGTAAAACTACTCAATGCTGATAACTAAGATGGCCCTCCTTCTGCCTTCAGGAAAAAATTGTTAAATCAGAGGATAAGCAAACCACTTAAAAATCTTAACATTGGAATCAATCTCCTGTCCAAATATTCATCACATTCTTTCCATTATCTTGAAGCCCTGAGGTAGATTTTCCTGCACACTGAGCAACCATTTGTTCAGTAATCCATCTGGCCAAGAAAAAATATGTATTTCATATGCAAAATAGGCTATAGCAGCATATTCTAATAAACCTGATGCTCTGTATTATTTCCTTTGCATGTTACAAATTTCTTATTGCTTCACCCACACTCCAGTAATATTACAGAAGCATCAATCTAATTGCTAAACAAAAGTAGAATACTCTTTTATCACAGTTTATGATGGAAAGAACAGACAGACTTTTGAGGCATCTATCTTCAGATTCCATTTCAACCACTTGCCAGAATGTGGCCTTAGGCAAATTAATTAAACTTTCCAAATCTCAATTTCCTCATAAAGCATGTACTTAATGAATAGTAACACCTGCCACCACTCTTGCTAGTTTTATTATTAACATTAAATTTATACTATGGCTATCCTTAGATAAATAGCTATACATAGGGTGAAAATCTACTTTCCTACAAGGCAAATATTGATCCTGCTCTTCGTAGGCCTAGCACAGTTATAACATAAAGGGATTCTATCGTAAGGCTTGGTGTAGGAAACCATAAAATCTAAGCAGTTATATCATCTATATTAGAAATAAAAAAGGTTCAGTCATTTGGTTCATAATCCACTTAATTATGATTATTTCAAAATTATTATATCCCCTTCAGTGTATCAACAGGAAATAACCCATTTTAACAAAAGATTAAAGTAGTTTTATTCTGTAGCATGTTATGGAAGGGGAAAAGGTACTTGAGGGAGGAATCACAAGCACTGAATCCATACAGAGGGAAAAACTGGAATTATCCAGACTTTTACATATTAAACACAAAAAAGTCAACATGTTTGAACTCATCATTGCTAATCACTACCAAAATTAAAGCTCAGTTATTTGGTGTGAGAGTGAAATCTCAATTCTTTAGAACTCACTAAATATATTTGTTTTTAGTTGACTTTGAGGAAAGAGGTAAAATGGCAACTAGTGGGATCAGGCATTTAGTCATGAAACATCCGACCTCTGGAGTTCTAAAATGGTTAAATAAGCATTTAGTCAAATTTCTAACAATGTCTATGTCATAATACCATATCATATGATGAGAATAAAAATTATAATGCACTTTTATTTCTTAATTCAATAAAAGTATCCTGTTCAGTTTAATGGAGTACTGTTACCAAGGTGAGAAATGAACTCCCAGGGAAAGGAGCCATTAACCTCATATTTTCTGAAATGAAAAATCCAGGCTGAATTTGACAAACTCTAAAATATATAGAATGTCTGCATTCGCAAATTCACGAATTAAATTAGGTGCCTGTGGACACATTTTTCTAAAAAGAGATAAGTGCCAGTACTTTTATCAGTCAAGGAAACTCAAATTTTAAATGATTACCAGTTCCTAGTGATTACCAACCTGACATTTCTCTGTCTCCTAACACTGGCTCCAACCCTACACATTCAAACTCTAGGTTTTTACCATTTGTGCTTCTAACTTCTGGCACAAACAATAATAATAAATAGACGAAACCACAGTTGAAAAATGAAAAATCAAAATCAAGATATTTCAAAATGAAAGGGGAAAATAATAACATTTTTACTGGGCTCTTGTGAACTGATCAGAATCCATGGGAAAATATCAAATATTATGATACATGCCAGCTTTCTGTAGATATATATAGAGACATATGTATAGCTATATCTATATCTACACTCTGCTTCTCTAGCCATTTCAGACAAGTGCGTAGCTCTGGAGAAAACCCTATTCAAAATCAGTCTATTCAATTACATTCCTACTTCTTACATGGGCCATCGTATCATTATGATAATCAAGCAATATTTTGTTTAATGCACATTAGGTTGAAACCTCCTTTAGGAAACAGAAAAAAATAATTTGGAGATAATAAACAGTGTTATTGTAAAAGAAGAGGAAGACGGCACAGTATTTTCTTTTAATAATAAGCCTAAGAATGGAATTTAAGCCATTAATTTTACCTGTAACTAATCAAGCCCTGGAAAATTATCTTATGAAAACAAACACATCATAATTTGGGATTTTTTTTTTAAAACCTCACTTTACATATAAATGTGACAGGATAAAGAAACAAGGTAAGGCAACTTGCACATGCACCTAAAAACTGCCATAGGCATTTTATTAAAAGATCATTTGATATTTTACCAAAATATCATGGTGCCTCTATTGTCCATACCTGAACATACTGTTCTGCCGTGCTGCATGTTAATAAAGAATACAAAAACAAAAATAGGGAAATGTTAGCAGAATAAAACATGAAAGTATTGCATGGAGAATTTAAAAATTAATTCACAAGCTTTTATGTCTAGTATGTAACAGGTACCAGTAATTTAACGATTTTTAACTCAGTTGACAAACTGCACAGCTCTTAGTTACAAATGGGTTACCCACAAGATGGGTTTAATTAATGAAAATATTTTATCCTTTTCAGATTTCAGAGCAAGTCCTAAAATCTTGTTACAAAAGTCTCCTTCTTTTAAATCAATTTTTAATTCACTTCTTAGAACACCGCAGAGGATAAAGACATGCCTTTTAGAGTTATGTCTGCTTGATGCTGTTTTAAAAATATTTTAGCCATTATTTAGCATCAGATAAAAATAACCATTGTCAAAGTGAAGCACTACCTCAAATCTAGAATAACAAAAATAAGTTTGTAACATCAAGACACGTACTATACATTTAAACTGAAAAGATAGGAAGCTGAGTTGTATATAGTTCTTAGTTCCGAGGGTATAAGCTTCCCTTTAAAACTTTTCAGTATATTCAAAAACACAATGACTATTGACTCAGCTTCACCAACATGCCAGTCCCATGTGGCAAAAGGGCCCACCCCCCACTCCAACACTTACTTCTCTTCTGTGACACGGCCTGCAAGCACGCGGTCATAAAATCGCAGTTTCTCTGTACTTTATGCAGAAGCCTATCTTTCTGCTTCAGCTGCCGAAGTAACTTTGCCGACTGAATGCCAATTCTGTACTTTAGCTCCTGAAGGATTGCCTTCAGTTCATTAGTGTCTATCAGTAAAGAAAAACAAAAACAAACACCCTGAGACGGATACAAATTCTGATGTGACACTAAATATAATACAAACATCTAGAACATGCATTTACACCAATTCTGGGTTTTCACCCACAATTACATGTATATTTTCAGCTAAAATATCCTGATCAAGTAAGTCACTCATCCACTTCCTGTTCTGTCCATTAGACAAATACTGTAAGATAAATTTTATCCTTGAGGCTACTTACAACATATAAATAAGCAAAGACTCTTATCAAATCTAGCACTGGTTGCAAATTTATCTTTCATTGCCTGAAAATTGGCATGTACATTTTGCATCATTGAAATGCTCAAATGGTTAGCCTGCAGGAAAAGAATCTTTTTGAGTCTGTTATATCAGTGATAAACCTAACAGCTAGTAACAAATGTTTTTAAAAGCATTCATCTTTGTAAATGATCAATTAAAAATAAATAATACTATCACATTTTCTAATGTAGATGAATGTGGCAATACTAGTTTTGTTTAAAATATTCAGCTTGACTATTAGGTGCACTATTTCTTCTTAGAGACAGTAATTCTTCAAACATGGTAGAAAATACATTTCCTTTAAACAGATATATTAAGAATAATTCTACATTCATAAAATTAATGTTCTCAACATGTTTTCTACAAGTGAAAAAAAATGGGAATCAGAAGTCAAAAACCTTTATATGAATAATCATTACAATTTGGGAGTTTTGTTTGTCACACTTCATATAATCACTACTCACCAATGTGTGACCTGCCAGTCATGTGAAGGCTTCCACTCAACTTGGCATTGGCTAGGCCCTCATTAGAAGTCCTTTGTGGGATTTAGGTCTATTCACTTTTAAAGGGATTTGGAGAAACTAGAGAGGATCAGAAGAGAGCAAAAGAATGTTCAAAAGTAAGAAAAGTATTCCAGAGATCAAAGGAAGTGAACACTGCATAAGAGAAGTTCGGTGGGGTGTTTTAACAGCTGTTATACTGTCAACATCAATTTGACCTTGAATTAAAAAGAAAACTGTCTCTGATGCTGATGGACAGTGACAGTGACTGTGAAGGGGTATGTGGGGGGGCCTTGGTGAAGGGGGAAGCCTAGTAATCATAATGTTCTTCATGTAACTGTAGATTAATGATACCAAAAAAAAAAACTATCTCTGATCAAGGAATTACCTTTGTGATCTTAAGCAAGGTAGTGCCCCAAGTCTCAAATTATGCTTAGCATACAAAATTATTCTGAGAAACAAATGGGAACAGTTTTCATAAACATTAATATAAATAGCACTAAAATAAGAACAAGGGGTTACTATGAAGAGAACAAAGGCCAGTTACTTCTCTCACCTTGAGTTCAAACATGGTGAGATAGAATGGGAAGTAAGAGTACATTCAGGTTAAACAACAATATTTGGGTTCTAAGGATGACTAAATATGGAAATAAGCTACAAGAGGAGACCAGAGCAACAAGCCTTCCATTCCTAGATTCCTTCAGTTAGGGCAAAGAGACTTTCTTTGGAGGCTTAAAAACTTTCCTGCTAGAAACAAAAGGGGTACAAATATCATCTTAAATTGAATTATACTCTTCTTCCACAAAACAGTCATTTTTTTTAGTGACTCTTAAGGTACCTACAGCTGACTCTCTGAGTTATATGTATTATGCAATATGGGAAAAATCTTCAGAGTTTGGAAATGTCTTCTACAGCAATATCCACTGATATAAAGGCATCTTGAAGACAGAAATGAGGTCTCCATTATCTTTGTAAGCCCCACAGCATTACCCATTGCTCCTAATACAGTGTTAAATATATGAGAAAAAAATGAAGAGATTGTCAACTGACAGTGGATAATTCCCTCTCTAAAGAATTCCAGTGTATATGGCAATAAAAAATATCTCACATTTACTGAGCATTTTATATACATTAACTTATATACTTCTCACTACAGCTCTCTGAGGTAGGTATATTATTATCTCTATTTGTAGGTGAGACAGAGAGGTTAAACAGCTTGCCCAAGGCCACAGCTAGTAAGGAATGATGGCAGAATATCAGCTCAAGCATTCCGACTCCAAAGTTTACTGCCTTAATGAAAACACTAATAAAAGAGCCTAGATTTCCTGAGAAACCATTTTGGTGCCCCACATATATAAAGGACTCACATATGCTAAATATCTAAATAAGTGCTACATCTAAATCCCTAATAAAGAGAGGAGCAATTTAGTACACAGGTCATCTGCATTGTATGAGAACCTTACTAAGTATTTTGTTAGTTGGGGTATTTTTCGACCCTGAAAAAAATCAAGTAGCCTAATAAGCTGTAAAATTATTAAGGCAGATAGCTGTTTCCATCACCTGATTCTTTATTCTTAGTACTCTAATGATGTTTATTAATAAAGGGCTGTGCGTATGTTGTCTGTATGTAAGACTATTATAATACGGCACCTTGTTCATCCTAACAGTGTCAACTACAAGGAAAGAAAAGATTAGCAGGCAAGTAACCATTCAAAAGACCGAGAAGTGGGCAAAACAGACTCTTATAAGTTTTATGACAGTTGAGTGGAATGCATTACCCATTGCTCCTAATACAGTGTTAAATATATGAGAAAAAAATGAAGAGATTGTCAACTGACAGTGGATAATTCCCTCTCTAAAGAATTCCAGTGTATATGGCAATAAAAAATATCTCACATTTACTGAGCATTTTATATACATTAACTTATATACTTCTCACTACAGCTCTCTGAGGTAGGTATATTATTATCTCTATTTGTAGGTGAGACAGAGAGGTTAAACAGCTTGCCCAAGGCCACAGCTAGTAAGGAATGATGGCAGAATATCAGCTCAAGCATTCCGACTCCAAAGTTTACTGCCTTAATGAAAACACTAATAAAAGAGCCTAGATTTCCTGAGAAACCATTTTGGTGCCCCACATATATAAAGGACTCACATATGCTAAATATCTAAATAAGTGCTACATCTAAATCCCTAATAAAGAGAGGAGCAATTTAGTACACAGGTCATCTGCATTGTATGAGAACCTTACTAAGTATTTTGTTAGTTGGGGTATTTTTCGACCCTGAAAAAAATCAAGTAGCCTAATAAGCTGTAAAATTATTAAGGCAGATAGCTGTTTCCATCACCTGATTCTTTATTCTTAGTACTCTAATGATGTTTATTAATAAAGGGCTGTGCGTATGTTGTCTGTATGTAAGACTATTATAATACGGCACCTTGTTCATCCTAACAGTGTCAACTACAAGGAAAGAAAAGATTAGCAGGCAAGTAACCATTCAAAAGACCGAGAAGTGGGCAAAACAGACTCTTATAAGTTTTATGACAGTTGAGTGGAAGGGTCACTAGATTTCAAACTAGTGAAATCCCCTGCAAAGCTGTACTGTTAGTTCTTCTCTAAACTTTAGCTTGCCAAATTTCCTCTTCTAAAAAGAAATTACTAATCCCCAAAATTCGCTCAGTAATGTAAAGTGAACAGTCTTGTAAAAACAGAAAGCCAAATTAACATTTTTCAAAATTAATTTTGTTGGATTCTGAAAGAACTATTGCCCTCCGAACTCTTGGCATAAACAGACACTCTGAGAACAGCCAAATAATTGTATAAAATGAAATGGCCCAACTCCAGCCAAAGTCCCAGGCAGGGGAGGAAGGTGGAAGCCATTAACAACAATCAGCTGGGAAAAAAATCTTCACTACGAAGCCAAAAGAGGAAGCTGAAAGCTGTTTACATAGATTTGAGAAAGCAGACGGATGTATTCCGTTCCTGAGTTTTGTTTTGGCACCAGCTAGACTGATTTTACAATTAGGAGACAGAAGACCATTCTATGTATTCTTTTTCCTCTCTCCCCTGGCAATTCAGCACTAGGACATTAATTCAAGAAATGTTATGGTGGTTTAGCATTTGTTTTCCACACCTCACTTTATTTTGTAAATTGAGGTCTCCATACATCTATACAGAAAGACAACTGTAGTAATTATGTTATTGCCTGAAAGGCAAGCTATTATGAACAGCTGGGGGGAGGGGTAGGAATCTCAATTAGGACACCAGCATCAAGTCTGATAACAAAATAAAACACCAAATTACCCTCTCACCCTGAAAGGCAAGACCGTTTTCAGATCGGCCTCTCCAAAGGAAGGTACCAGCAGTTAAATTCTGTGGTAACTCCAGGGCTCTAGAGACCGCCACTAATCTGCCACGCCACCGAGAGGGGGAAGAAAATCCATCTGCTGAGTTTACAGAAACCAGACGTTCTGGCAGAAATGGAATTCATCCGCTCTGCTTAGAAACTGCATTATCGAATTATTCGGCCTCACTGAACACTATCCAAGTGTTGTGGCCAGGTAGGACGATTAAAAAAAAAAAAGCCCCAAGGGTCGCCTCTATTCCTCGGGCGCCCTCTAGGTAACTTCAGATGCACGTACCAGAAACTCCAAACCCGTCCTAACAGCTGTTCTAGTGAAATAAGGACCGGGACTGCCTTCCCCTTGGGCCACAAAACACACTGCGGGGAAAAGGAGGGAACGCCCGCCGCTACCACTCCAACTGATGCTCCCCTAGATAACTCGAGAGGGACCGGGAGGCGCGGGCGATAAGAAGAAGCAGTCCAGTCATGAATCGGAGATACTGTGGTCACCAGCGACAGACGAAAGGCGAAGCCGCACACTTCGTCTCTGAGCTGCTCGGCCAGGTGCGCACAGGCGGGCGCGAGGCGCGGGCAGCGGCGGGGCGCGGGCAGCAGCGGCGCGCCCGGCTCCGGGGGCTCACCTTTCCGCCGCAGGTACTGCATCTGGTGCCGCTGGCTCGGCCGCTCCTGCAGCTCCTGCAGCACGCGGGAGTCGCCGGCGCCGCCGCGGCCGCCCAGGAACACGTCGGAGCCCGAGGCCTCCGTGGAGCTGTCGAGGCTGTCGCGGCGCTGCTGGCGCCTCCCCGGCCCGTGGCCCCCGCCGGCCGCCTCCTCCTCCTCGGTGCAGCTGTACAGCTCGGTGAGCAGCCCGCTCACCAGGGACGCCGTGCGGCTCCTCGGGCCGGCCCGCGGCTCGCCGGGCTCCGGGTCCTCCTCGGCCTGCTCCGCCGGCGGCACCCCGTGCAGCAGTGGGGTCGGGGACACTCCAGGGGTCTCCTCCGGCGCCCCGCGCCCCGGCCGGGCCCCGCCCGCGGGAAGGTCCTCCATGGCCCCGGCGCTCGGCGGCCGCGCTCCCGCCGCGCCGCGCCTGCCAGTTCCGGGAGGAGGCGCGGCCTCAGGGCCCGGGAGAGCCACCGGCGGGCGCGGCGCCAGCCGTCTCCAAATCCCCGCGGGCCCGACCTGCCGCCGGTAGCCTCCCGAGGCGCGGCCCCTGGGCTCCGGGCCGCGAGGACGGCCCGCTGTACCTGCAGCAGGCGAGGCCCGCCCTCGTCCGCGAGCGCTCTCGGGAGAGCGTCAGGGCGCAGGATGCGGCCGGAACACGTCGGGATGAAGCCTGCAGCCCGGAGGGGGAAGGGCGCTCTGGCCGCTGCCACCTTCACTTTCAGCACGTAATTAACTCAGAAAGAGGGGAGCTCTTGCACCTCGTTCAGCCACCAGCTGGAAATAAAACAGTGCTCAGGAGCGCCCCAAACGCCAATTAATAAGCCGAGGCTAGGAATCCCCTTCTTCTCATTCTCCAGGCACGATGCCCAGCGTTTCTCACCTTCCCACCTGATCTGGGCGCCTTTAAAAAGGTGTTCTCAGTTTAGTTTCTAACAGTAAACATTTTGAAGACCTGGCACATGTTTGAGATTTAATAACTCTGTGCACGTTTTTCCTCCGGTGAAAAATGAAAGACTGGATTAAGATCAACTAATTTCCTGGCGCAAGATCTAACACAGAATGAGGGTTTTTTAAATGTCCATCAGATGACCAAACTAATCAGTTGATGTAGCTGATTCTGACAGTAAAATCAAAAGCTTACATGATACCTGAGAGTTATCTTTACACCAAACAGTGGAAAATTTTGAAGTACTGTACATATTTTTGTGAATTTTTAAATTGTCAAGCTTTTTCAGCGCTTTTTGTGTGCCAGGCACTGTTCTTAGTCCTTCGCACGAATTATCCTATTTGATTCTCCCTCCTCCACTTAGGGGAGGTCTAAGCAGACCATCCCCTAAGCTAAAGGGGCTGTGAGACCAAAGAAAGGCTGAAGAGTTCAGCTGGAATTCACAGAGGTTTACTGAGGGTATCTTACCTACAAAAGTTTGTCCTGGGCAGCAGCAGGCTGCATAGATCCATGCGCCTCAGCTTTGGGTTTAGGGAAGCTAATTTATAGAAGCAAGGAGAAAGGGTCTAGGCGCAGGGGAAGGCAAAGAGCAAGGGTTGACAGATATGACCACCACTTATGTGCACAATGGAGCAAGGGGCTGATGTCTGAGTATTATCACTGGAATTTGAGCAAGGAGGTTGGCTCCAGGGAGCAATTCACTTGTGCCGTGCTGGATATTATCTAAGGATGTCAAAGGAAAGAGAATGTAAAGGTGATCCTTCAATAGTCACGTTGGATTTCATAAAATGGCATTACTCTGGTTCACAGACACTCCCCATAAAGCAGGTATGTACTATTTGTTAGTGAGGTATACTTGACATATAACATTATATTCATTTCAGATGTACAACATAATATTAGATATTTGCATATATTATGAAATGATCACCCCAGTACATCTAAGTTAACATCTGTCACCACACACAGTTACAAAGGTAAGTACTCTTTTATCCTCACTTTTCAGAGGAGGGAGCAGAGAGGCTAAATAACCACCTGTTCACAAAGAATAAAGTGAACTTTTCTTAAAGCTTAGTGTCTGTTTTTCATTATGGATAGATACATATTCTGTTATGGATAAGTGCATATTTACCTATCTCCTTGTGCAATAAAATACTTGCCATATTTCTAAAAAGAGCAACAATGAGCCTAGTGAGCAATGGCATGCTGTAAGTTTGTTCAGCACACTTTTTATTTTTCAAGACACTTTCATAAGAAAGCCTGACCCTATAGGTAGAAACCAAGCATTCCTTGGCACCACCACCACTATACATGCAAACAGAGTGACAGCAATAGGACCCTTTTTGAAATTAGAGTTACTATAAGGAAAGAAGTTTTACAGCTTTTCCCTTAGAATTTAAAATTATACTAGAAATATTATTTCCTGGTTTTATAACTATATTAATTACTACAGTATCCATTTAATTTTAAAATGTATCATACAGAAAGAGTGGAATTTTTGTTTTGTTTCATGAAGTTTTTTTCTTTTGTCTCCATCATTGACTAGAATTCTGAGAACCTTCCTTCACATGCCAAACTTTGCACCAGATAGGACTTTCACAAAGGGCAACACTGAAATTGGATCTCTTGTCTTAGATGACTTGCCAAGCCCTTTCTCTCTAAGAGATGTGCTAACTACTAGTCTCAGCACTGTTCTCACTTAGGGTATCTCTATCAAGACCTATGGCTATAGAAACTCAAAGTGAGCTAGTGGGGATGGTGAAAGAGGCCAAGAAAAACCACAGGGATCATTGACAGCCAACATTTTTTTTACTCAAAATTTCAAAATTATTTCCCATCCCACCATTACAAAATCACCAGAGGAGAGGAAATTGGTGACATAAAAACTAACAAAGAAGGCACATGCAAGGTCCTCACACTTGTGGGAATGATCTTTCCCCAGATGTCCACATGACACGTTTCTCACCAGGGTCAGGTGTCTGCTTCAATGTCATCTTCTTAGTGGATCCGTCCTAACCTCCCTATTTGAAGTTGCAGCTCCCTCCACCCCACTATTCCCTTATTTCCTCTCCTTATTCTCTTGTTCTCCTAATACTCACCACCTTCCGACATATGTATCATGTACTGATTTATTATCTGTCTTCTGCCAGGAAAATGGAAGTTCCTAAAGGCAGGAATTTTAGTCTGTTTTGTTCACTGATACATGCTCATCAAACTAAAGAAAAGACCAACCAATTACCTAGTTTCCTAAGAAAAGCGAGTTCCATTAAATCAAATTCTAGAAATGGTATTGGTAAAGGACAGCCCATTTTGTATCCTAAATTACTGCTGCCTGGTCAATAAAAGGCCCCAGGGAATTTCCCTAAAGCTCCGAAGTCAACTAATCAGATAGAGAGAGAACCATTGGTCTAACAGAATCTGATTTCAAACTGATCCTGACTCAGATAATGGCTAAAATTAAATTTATTATTGTTAATTATGCTGCTGATAACAATCACTACTTCAGTTTGTTTGGAACTTTAGTTTTAATATTTAAATAACTATACTAATTATTTTATACCAGACCTAAGGTCCAATACTGCATTATATTTACAAGGAGCTAAGAAGCATCTATCTTCAAGTTGCATACAATTTACTACAGTGTACAGAAATGAATTTATGTAAATTTGGTGTACAAGCTATAGACTATGAACATTTAAGTTATTTCCAAACCTGTATCAGGGTCTTACCAATAACCTTCTGACATCTATCATTAAAACTATCTTAATACGTTTCTCAGCATTTTTGATGCTTTGAATTTTTTCACCATGGGCAGACACATAAGGCTGAACTGACTTTGACTGAATTTGGCTGAATAGCTTTGACTAGTCTTGGAATGGCTGATTTCTAAAGTCTAGCAGTTAACCTTTACTCTAATCCTTCAGGGATTACTCATTCCAGAGTCACAAGGAAAGGCAAAAGGTCATTACTGGGTTTCGGTTGCTTCTCATGGAAGCTCACTTTTGCTCTTTAATTTTGCTGATTACAACTTATTTATACCCTTCAGATACAATTCAATCTCTACTTTCAGATTAATAACTTACATTTCTTTAATCCCAAAAATTGGGAAGAGAAGTAAAAAAGGAATTTTAGTATTTTAAAAGCCATCAAGCTTTAGACCTCAGGAAACGCATAATCATAACACATAGTAAACAGTCAACAAATAACAGCCATTAATGTTGAATGGCATTTAAGTCATAAAATCTGAGGATTCAGAGGAATTTGGAGATCTAATCTGACTACTACTTCGCTAATTAATCTTTAATTATTACACTAACTTTCAAAGTGACAATAAAGCCTTTCTTTTGCAATAGTGAAAAGAACAGCTGTGATGGTGCAGAACCTATTAGCTGGGAACCAGACTTCTGATCTCTCACTTGTACTCAAGTGATATTCTTTGAGAATAAGTGAGGTGCCTATCATGCCAGCACTTAGTCACTGCCAAAGGCCAGCTAACATCACTGACTAAGCCATGCAAACACCAGAGCCTAGACTGGTGGTAGCCACAGCAGAGAGAGCAGTGGAGAAACAGCCATGGGGCAACCCCAGTGGGAAAGAAAAGGGGTTCTCTAGAAGGCCAGCTCTGGGACCTGTCATGGTAATCTAGCTGGCCCATCTGTTCCCCAAACCCCATCTTTGCAATGTTTGCACAAAACTTTGAGAGCTGGGATAGGAACTTGAGGCATTACACTTTGCCAGTAAATTATTACAAAATAAAAGCACACCTATGGACATTGTAATAAAGCATATTAGAATTATCAGAGTTCTTCAAAGAGTTTAGAGTCTCTGGTTTTGAGAACTTCTGCAAAGTGGCAAATCAAATATCCACAAATGTAGAAATAGAAATTAAAGATTCATATTTGAAGGAAAACTTTTCATATTTCAAGAATACCCAATTAATAAGGAGAACAACTTAAAATTACTATTTCCCTATAATTGAAATGCAGTGATAGACTGCATAAACAGGCACTTTGAATTATATAAAAGCTCAAAGCCACTTGAGGTTTTTTGTATACCCTCCACAAGTTATAGGAATGTCAGAGGAAACATAAATGTATCAATTATATGAGTTAAAATTTCACAATTGCAAAACTACAAGAATTTATGATTTACACTTAAAATTAAACTCTTTTCTAAATAAACTGACTTATAGGAAGAGTTAAATGTTTTTAGAAAAATTGTTCCACAGATTCATCAGCTTTACATGTGCTAAAATTTCTATTTTGAAATAATCTGTCAAAAATTTATCCCATTTTTATATAGCCAAATAATACTCTTACCAGCTCCAGTAACCGTCACATTTGAATAAAGATCCTCCTCAAAGTGAAAAATTATCAAAAATTATTTGTAGCCATGCATTTGCCAAGAGCAACTGACATTGTTTTCAATTATATCAATTGAAAAGGAAGTTGCAAAAATATAATTTTGATGATCTAAGAAATGAATTTGCAGGGAAAGCAAGCCAGAGAAGTCATATATAATTAATCAAGTTACACAATAAGATATTTACTTATTATATTGTATTAATTATAATACTACAAATATTAATTGCAGTTTGTAATATTATGGTGTTACTCACGTATCACTATAACTCCCATGGCATTTTGTAAGTCATACAATAGTTTTAAAAG